GGTGGGCGGGGGACGGGGACCAGCAGCAATTAACATTGTCACCACTCCCCCACTGCCTAAATTTCCAAGCCTTGTTTCAACTGCGCAGGCAGAGTCTGTCCAGGGCTGGATGCAGCTATACAGAATCAAGCTAGTCAAGCTGTTTCCAAGCAGCTGCAGCAAAACCCAGCTGGGCCAGCACTGCATGCTGGATGGGGCCCACAGGTAGACCTGGCACAACTCATTTGACCCATGAGCCCAATGGGGCACCACTGGTTTAGATGAACAAATTTTACTCAGAAAACGTAACTAAAAGTTTCCTCAAACCATTGAAAAGATTATTCTTAACATAGCTTCTAACTATTACAGGCACAGCTCTGGGATGCACAAGTTGTTACAAAAGCCCAGTTTACTTACCTATACCTCTTTCAAGGGCATCTCCAAAAGTACGAGACATCCCCATCTCATTCCTTCCAAAGTCTCTTTCAAATCCTCCACCCATTGCTCGATCCATCTCTGCAGAAAGACATCAGTTAGTGCAATGCAGCCTATAGTGCTGAGAGCCTGTATCACGGTACAGAGATGCTGCCTCCCTATGCCATACAGCAAGGGGAACCATACTGCCTGCTCACATGGTGCTGGGGGAGCTTGCAGTTAAGGAGGTTTGGGGGGGGAACGGGGGACGGCACCATGGTCCTCCATTCCTGCAGCCCCCGGCCACTAAGAAGTTAGAAATTTAAACTGTCCCCAAGGTGTCTTGTCTCCAAGACAAGGCATTCTACTTCTGAAATATCAAGAGTATTCTAGCTTCTTTCCTGGAGGATCCTAACAACACATTTAGGAAGATCTGCATGTAGTTACAAACTAGCTTGAGCTACAGCTCCTTCCCTCTAAATTCTGGCTGACCTCCTCATCCCAATTGAAGTTAGGTGGTATATTATCCTTATTCTAGATTGTCCTACAACCAGGCTAAGATTTTTCCAGAGTTTAGAGTTCGTGTTCCTAAGAAAACTGGTAAAAAAAAAAAAAAGGCTCTGGACATTTTAGGATGATTATATACCAAAAAAGCAGCAATCAGCAAACAGCCAAAAAGGATGCTCAGCTTCCTGTATTTTAAACTGCAGTCCCAAATGTATATAAAAATATTGCCTAAAGCACAAGTTCTCAGTTACCAGGATACACACTTGCACACGTATTTCTTTGCAATTGTGAAATGACTTTGTGAAAAGTCTGTGAATAGTCTATTTTAACGTCTGTGCAGAGAAACTCACAGTGATGAAATAAAAAAAAAAAAAAATAATCCAGGCTGCAAATCCAAATTCCAATGAATGAGTGATTTGTACAGTATTCTTATAATAGCAACTACTAAGTGTTGCCCCATTATGGTCTGGTCAGAAAGGTGAAGTCTCATCTAAGAAGATGCCTTCATCTACTAGAAGTCAAGTTACATCAAATGAACAAGTGAAGCCTCATGCCCTAGCCAGCCATTTTCTGGAAAGCTAACAACTAGAGGTGCACAGATACATTAGTCCATATTGCAATCAGCACTGATGAACAGGAAAATTGACGTTATTGGCAGCTTGGAGAGCAGTGTCTGGCTGGTGGGTCTGTTGGGGGGGGGGGGGGGGC